GTGTGTGTGTGTGGTCCACAGGGAGGATGTCAGAACAGCCAACGTGGTTGCCACGGAGCCGGTCACCTGCCTGGTCATCGACAGAGAGTGAGTCGTTACATTTTGTTCACTCAAACTCACCTGTGCGTGCTGCGGTGGCGCTCGTGTGTCACCTGAGCAGGTGAACCTGTCGGCCGTTTTTCCTCCTTCACAGCGCCCTCACTTTGTGTCTGACTGTTTAAACACACAGAGTGGAGCTGCAGAGTGAAGCTCCTGCTGCCCCCTGCTGGGCCTCACAGCTAACTACACACACAGCGCAGCATATGAAGCTCTTTACTTTTCTTTTCTTCCATAAAATGAGCTCAAAGAGAAAAAACAAACACAAAGTGCTGATTTTTAAATGAGCACACAGGTGTTAAACAGTTTGACTGCAGTTTGGGGGATTTTTATTCCCAGTGGTGGAGATGATTAACAGGAACTTACAGACAAAGAAGCCGGAGCCCCGTCTGGGACAAATGATTTCACACTTTCTTTCTGTCATGAAATTAGTACATGAAAGTGACCCCCCCCCCCCCCCCGATAATTAAAGCTTTCAGTACTAAGGTGCTAAATGAATTAGCTCATTATTTGGCTGAGGTGGTTCACATGATAAATGAAAGTGATTGTTTACCTGCTAACGCTGGCTGTGTTTCCACACAAAGTGCAGATCGTACTGATGTCAGAGCAGTGAAAGCAGAGCTTAGCGACAGATTAGCTACACGCTAATCTTCCATCAGCCTCCCATCAAAGTCCAGAGGTTCATCAAAAATGCACATGTGCAAACACGATGCTTGACAAGCTTAGTGTTGTCCGATTAACAGGACACAGACACACCCACGATGACATGAACCCCACACGGAGTTCAGCGGCTCCATAATCAGGTGGAGTTCATTCTTTTTTCTTTTTTTCTTTTTTGTCTGTCCCGTTTGGATCTTTAGCATCAGAATTGTTGTCTGAAGGCCAAGAAAGGCCAAGAAAGGCCAAGAAAGGCCGAGCGGCTTTACTTTACCAAGTGGATCATCATGGCCTTGCCATGTTGGTCCATTTGATTGACCTTTATTATAATTATGTATTTATTTTATTTTGTTTTCAGTTGTTACAAACGGGACAGACATGACTGGGAGACAGAATGAAAGAAAGAGAGGGGAGAAGAGACGGTGAGAAAGGGGGGAAGAAACATACATACATACATACATGAGCGCCCAGCCCCAGTCCACAAGAACCACCAACACACCAACATCTGAGGGCATCAGCCACCGGCAGGGAGCGTGGTGAGGGGAGATCGGCCTCCGTACTTTGGAGGGCCTGAGATGTTCCCAGAGAGGTTGAGTCTAAGACCCAACCTGACATATAGACACAGACGAACAGGCGCACGCGGACACAAACGTGCATTCCCACCCCATATACACAACCAAACACTCGGCACTCACCCAACGTATAGACAGACACAAACAGACACTGTGCACACAGTCACACTCCCCAAACATACCGTATATTCCATGTGCAGGTACCCCGCCCCCACAGGGGCAAACCGTACCTGGACCCAGGAGGTGTAACCCTTCTCTCTGGGGTGGAGGAAAGCGGACCGCCTCCTTATCTGCAGTAGCAGGGAGGCCCCGCATCCCAGTCTGACGGTTAACAGAACCGGGGTGAGTGAAGACCCCAAACCTCCCTCCGCCCGCTCATATGTAGTGTTGCTGCGTGCTGTTCTCAAGTGCATTTAAAACACAGGAGGGCATGGTGCTTCCTGCCAGAGAGCAGCACGGCTCCTCCCGAAAACCCTCAGTGTGTATATGCATTTAAAATTGAGGGCTGGGCACCAGCGCCAGAGGTGGGTTTGAATACACAGACCGTCCTCTGGACGCGGTATGACGTGCCCACCCCCAACGCCCTATACTGTATGTGTTATGAGAGTATGAGTAATGTGGTCGTCAAGGGAGGGGCAAGTGGCCACCCGACCCCACCGCAGATAAAAAACTGCACCCACCCCATCATCCAATCTTCTCCCAGACTCGCAGGGTTGAGTTCATTCTCCACCTCTCCCCCACCTCCAGAGTGAGCTCCTGGAGAGAGGAGACCTCCTGAAAAGATGTAACAGCCTCCCCACCAGTTAGAGAGCCCTCCAGTTGGGCCAATGCACTAGAGGTCCCCCGCACCAGGGCTGAGCCCCATGCACCCACCCACAACCCTGGCGACACAATAACCAGGACCCAAGGCCCCAAGGCCCAGCCAGAGGTGGAGTTAATTCTGCTTCCAGAGACAAGGACCAGCTGTGGCCACAAGATGGCAGTTATGTGAAAGATGGATGCAAACAGCCGTGACTGGTAGATTTCACAGACAGGCATTGCCTGGCTTCCCTTGACAGAACACCGCTGACATCCATCAGTGTAAATCTGAAATATTTACCTGAGAGGAACACAAGGAAAGCAGCTGGAACTGAAGAGCACATCAATTACAAGCCAACAGTCCCACCGGTGCCGTCTATAACCTGCTGTTATGGTTCGGAGGTTCAGTTACTTTTGGTTCTTTTCAGTTTTGTAGTTTTCGCCTCCCTTTCCCTGACCTTTCTCATCCCATATCTCTGCTTTAACCATTTCCTGTTTTATCAGAATAGAATAGAATAGAATAGAATAGCCTTTATTGTCATTGTACATGTACAACAGAACTGTTGAACAAACAGCTGAAATACATACAAACCAGATGAATGTATACAAAAACAATAGAAAACATTAGAGAACAAATTGGACATTAGACACATCAGCTGTGTTTCAGCTGCTGCTACTTCCTGTCTTTGTCTCTCCTTTGAGATTGTCTGTAACTCAGCGGTGTTCCTCCTCCTGTTGTCATTTCTCAAAGCGAGTTCGTTACTCGTGTCTTGGCTTCACCCACAAGAGATGCAAATGAAGGAGCTGAGGAAGAGGCAGAAGAAGAGAGGAGTGGAGGCAGCAGGTGGTGGACTAAATGAGATGTTCCCACCTCAGAGCCTCTTTTAAAAGGATGCAAATTAAATCTGAAGTTTGGAACAACTGCATGATTAACAGTTATGTTTGCTGTATGTATGACCTCAGGTGTGACAGAGCTCATGGTCTCTATTTATTTCCTCTTTTAATTAAAATAATAATGATTGCATTTATATAGTGCTTTTCGAGAACCTCAAAGCACTTCACAATGCCACTATTCATTCACTCTCACACACTGGTGGAGGCAGCTACAG